CCCCAAAACCCCAAAACCCCGAAAGGATAAAGTTCGATTAGTCTTTAAAAAGTAATAATATTATTAGAATTAAGCATTGATGGAAGCAAATTTAGAGCAATTGGTACTTCGAAAATAGAAGACTTCATAATACCCAGATGATAGTATAATCATACCCATAGATAAAAAAATGCCTCATAAAGAGACAAACCATGGCTTCTACAACAGCTTCTAAGTATTAATGAAATAAGATTAATTTAAGTACTGCATTTTGCACAAGGGCTAATTCATTCCTCCTGCTTACACTTGTAAGGGCTGTAATATATACTTCTGCTAAAGCTGCTGCATATATAATTAGATATTTCGATGTCCTTTTTGTGAGCATTCGATAAAATGGTATCAAGTAATCTAGTTAGAAGATTCACACTGCCAAGAATTAAAGAATACAAAAGTACAGTGCAAGTGCATCAATTACAAGAAAACTGGCGTTAAGAATCTTTATGAGCATTTCCTGGAGTGTAGATAGAATAAGAGACTTAAACGAATGTGTAGAAATTTAAACTGTCCTTTCTTTGGTAAGTTTAGAGCAGTGCTAGATCATGAAATCAATCGTAAAGCTTGCTAGGATAATTTCAAAAGAGTATTCTGTGTCATATGCAAACAAATAATGCCAGCAACTGAGGAGTAAATACATATGACTCTGATGCACCCAAATAAGATTAAGCGTTCTTAAATACCAAGACTCAACCTGGATAGATAAGCACTTATGTCAGACAAGAATGAAGATAAATTTGATAGTGAAAATCAAAGAATAGAAGTTAAAGATTATTGTAAGGAGAGAGATTTACAAAAGTAAGATCTAATTGAAATACTCAAGCTAGTAGACATTTCACATGAACTTTTTCTTAAAGATAAGAAGCATTGACTTCGCTGAAAAGAAATTAAGTATATTACTGAGTATTGGCTTTTGCATAATATTGTTATCATTTTATTTATTCTTGATCATCATTATACTTATCCAGCGGGGTTTTGGGGTTTTGGGGTTTTGGGG